TTTGGCAACACTTACTTCTTCTTCACATTTGCACAAGCCCAATAGAGTTATTCTGTATCACAGTTTTTCTCGGTCGCTTTGGTGCATTTCTTTGGTGCATTTCATTCTTCACATTTGCACAACTGTTGGTGCATTTCTCAGAACAATTAGTTCAAACTGCAAAACCTCGTGGATAACCTGCAAAAGTGCATCACTTTCTCAAAATGAAAAGTGAATTCCTCAAAAGCAAGTCTTCATGTCGATGAAACTGTCTGTGTTGTCAAAATAATATGTCCTGACACCATTGAGTATGAACAACAGTCACATGACAGAATATCTATGTATGTATGTGTGTATCTATGTATGTATGTGTGTATCTATGTATGTATGTACTTGCTCTTTGCAGTTCTACAGCATTGTGCAACAAAAATACAGTCCCATACATGTATATACATAGAGCAAACATACAAGAAATATCATTTTGGTAGAACTGTGACAAATGTAAACAATAAAACACACAACTCCTCAGAGAGAAATTGTTCAATTTAGGAAAGATTTACAGGGAAAAAAGATAAAGAAATGTATGAAATTAGCTTGACAAATATGATTTTGAACTAGTTCAACAATTTTGTATGTGACGACCAAAGCGATGAAATGAGAACAGTTAGTTTTATAATGAAAGACTATTCAGAAGTGATAAGTATGTTTCATTCTGACAGGACAGAAGCAAATGATAATGTTAAAAAACAGCAGAGAATTGTATGAAAGTAACTGATACATGAACAAAAGCATTTGTAAAGTGTTCAGAGGAATGAGAAACTGCCATGATGTGCACCAATGACCCAATGTTGTGGAGGTTGAACTAATAGTTTTGAGAACTTCAAGTCTGATGTGAGAAATGCACCAAAGCGACTGAGAAAAACTGTATTCCGAATCCTCATTCATTCATTCATGCCATCGTAAGTAACAGGAAGTCACAAACTAGGAATTAGCTTTGGCACACGCTGGTAATGAATAGATCTTAATACATTTCTATAATATAAATACACATACTAGTCATTTAACATTGCCGATTTTTTTTGTTTATATTTAATGATTTTAGGTATTTCAAATTGGACACAAGTCACCTCTTGTCCATCATAGTTTCCAACAAAAAAAATAAAAAATAAGAGGAAAAGAATTAACCAAAAATAGTTAGCTGAAAGGGAGTAGGAAGAAAAAAAACGTTATCAATAAGTCATACGTTTATTGCTAATGTCCTATTTTGATTGTTGGTGATTAAATGATTCCCTGTCAGTGCAGAGTTGACACAGATGACCGCTGTGTGCAGTGCAGATTGTGTAATAGCTGACAAAAGACTTTCAATGGTAGAAGCGTGAGCTAATGTCAAAAAATAGACTTTTGGGGGAGACTTGAGGAATGTGCAGCAGCCGACGTGGGTCTTTCTGACGGTCACGGGTTTGTGTTGTGACCATGTGACCTGCGGATCAGCTGTGGAAGTGCCTTTGATGCATGGTCAGAAAAAATGGTTACGTAACGTTAGTCAATGTTTTAGATCTTTAAGGGTCTCAAAATCAAACTCAAAGAAACTCTGGCTGAAGCTGGACAGCATTAAAGGGGTGGGGTTCTCACGTGTGTTTGTGAGTGTGCAAACTATATGAAGTGAGTGGATAAAAATAGATTCATGCACACGCAGATGTAGAATCAGAGTCAGATTGTATTTTTGGTCATTGCTAGTAATAGGAAGCTGCAAACTAGGATTATATTTTAGCTCAAGGTGGAAATAAGTTGAAAGAGTAAAAATAGCAGACAACAATATTTTTTTTGTATTATCATTTTTTATTTAATTTTTTTATCATTATTGTATTGTATTGTAAATATATCTTATCCTTAACGTTTTGGAAATTCTTATCTGCTTTTATCTTTAGGACCCCCTCGAAAAAAGTGACACATTTAAAGATAAAGGTTTGCCAGATTTATATGTATCAAAAATAGAAAAAAAAATGATGATGTGCACTGTAAAAACAAAAAGAATTCAATAAAAACAATAACAATCCAGTTATCCAATACATAAAGAACAATACAAACCAGAATGATTGACAATTAGGAGGACCAATAGTCTTGATGATCCACCCGGAAGTAGAAAATCCTCCGATACACCTTTAGATAAACTTAAACTTCACATAATCTTTTAAAATCACTGCTATATACAAGACATTTAGCAGTGCAGTTAAAGTGACAGTAGCATAAAGTGACAGTAGCATAAAGTGACAGTAGCATAAAGTGACGGCCATAAATGTAGAAATAAACCACTACAATCGGCACACGCTGTTTCACTTTGCACGCGCAGTTTTAGCTCCTGGATTGATACTAATGCCCCTATGTTTCTCTCAAACTGCCCCCTATTCTCATTCTGTATCAATAAGTGTAGAAAAAGTCAATGTTTGTACTTGTAGAACAGAGTGAGACGGCAACAGGGATAAAAAGGATGGAGTTTGTCAGTAGTTGAGCATTAGCATCTGTGACTTTGTATAATCATGAAGGATTTTTACTGACTGTCACGAGGGCCTTGGATTTCCTCTTTGTTCATGGTTTCTTTTCTGATTGTGAAAAACACCAAAAAAACGTGTTGTGTAAAACATGTGTGTGGACACTGCCTTGTGTGACCGAAAGCTTAGGCCCAATTGTGACATCATCCACCTCTGCTCTGGTTTGATTCTAAATAAAAAAGGCCTGGTGCAGGGGGAGAGTTTGCTATATTTGTGAGACCTATCACAGGTTATAGTTTCGACCTCCTCCCCTTTAACTGCGTCAGATCTCTGTGTGGCTGCAAAGATGAATCCTACTTGGATAGTCACGCTGTGGAACTAAAATATTCAAATATTTGTTTTTAAGTTTTATCTTTTCTGTGTCATGAGGCATGTAGGAAATGGCAATTTGGAAATCTCAATGGTAACAGACTTTTGTCGGCCTGATAATGACCCTTCGAGTTGATGTGTGAGGTTTATATAAACAAATACAAAAATTTAAAATGAACAATTAAATTTAAAAAAACAATAAATATTCTTCTAATCAAACATTAGTCCTCGTGTGTTTAGAAGAATACTTTATTGTGAAGCGATAATTTATGCTATTATCATCAGAATTGTTATTATCGTCAATATTATTATACTTGTATTAGTACTATTAATATTATTGTTGTTTTTATTACTATTATAATGATGATTATTATTATTATCATCATAGGATGTGTGTGTGGATAAGGAAGTCTCTGCGTCTCACACAGCTGCCCCTGCAAACCGGCAACAGATAAAGCAGAAGAAAATGGATTGATGGATTATTATTACAACAAAAAATACATACAAATATGCCAGATTGTGGGTTGTATGTACAGGCTTTGAACGCTAGATGGACCTAAAGAGTCGTTTTGGGAGACACAGTCACACGGTCTGCTTTTCAGTTCTAGACGTTGGATTAATTAGATTTAATCCAACGTGGTCCCGTGAATACGTTTGATACACGAGATTAGAATTATAGTCAATGTATTAGATTACCCAAACAAATCGATTTGTTGAAAAATAGAACAATATCCAAAAGTTTCAAAAAATTACACAGAACGACCCATATAAAACTGATAACAAACACAATAATTAGCGGCTACGTGCATTTCTGCCATCTAAGAAAAAAAAAAAATCTCGAGGAACGCTGAGAGCCGTTTTTGATCTTGAAAACTCTATTTCCCAGAATTCCTTTGAACGTCACATTGGACTCACCCGGAAGTAAGCGTCACAACAACATTGCAATGACACCGCGGCGAAATCACGAATAACAGCAAACTTTAAAAACGTGTTTGGACTTCTCAGCTTTGATCCAAACACACATGTATGTTTGTAGTAACGTCAGAAAATACTTTTACTCATAACTTGAAGCGTAACGAGGCTGGTTAGCTACTGGCTCTGTTAAGCTTTGGTGTGATGGCTCTGGTGCTTATGGACAGTGATAGAAGTTTTGTCTTGGTGATAGATGGATAGATAGATAAGTAGATAGATAACCTAGACTAGAGATATAGACAAAGCAAAAGTTAATATTTCTCACGGCGCAGTCACGTGACATTGCACTTTGACCCTCTGTGTTAACTTCCAGGTACTGAAGCTGGTAAGGCATGCTTCGTTATTATGCTAAAGTTAGAGATTTTATACTTATTTATTATACAAAAGTTAGAGATTTTTCACTTGCTTCTTTATATTGCTAAAGTTACACATTTTATACTTCTTCTTTGGGCTATAGTTAGAGATTTTATTCTTAATCCTTTATTATTTTAAAGTTGGGTTTTTGTACTTAAGTCTTGCTTCTTCATGATGCTAATAAAGCTAGAGATTTTATACTTGCTTCTTTTTTGTGCTAAAGTTAAGAGATTTTTTTGTTCAATTTCATTATAGTCTAGAGCAGGGGTCTCCAACCTGTAGCTCTTGAGCCATCAGTAGTTAGCCACCCTCTTCCAGGTAGCTCGCCAAAGGATTTAGAAATTACCAAATCAAATAATACTTAACATTTCAGATTGTATTATTCATTATTTATAATTGTAAATGCACTTATTGTGTGCATTAGTAACAAATATGCGACGGTAAATAATGAGTGTACCCGATTGCAGGCTCCTTATATCACCAATATTTCACCACATTTTTCCCAGGGCCATTTCAAGGAGTAGCTCTCTGCTTTTTTCATCCCGGGAAAGTAGCTCTCTGGGCGAAAAAGGTCGGAGACACCTGGTATAGAGTTATTGTTCATTTATCTTATGATGTATTCTCCTCATTCCTGCTATTCTGTAACCGGTGATACAACACTGAAATCTCCCCATTGTGGGACAAATAAAAGATTTCTCAATTTTAATTTACCGAGGTTTTAAACAAGTACTATATATAGGATGCTTGTATGCTAGTGTTTAAAGGTATTCCACTTGTGTGTGTAGGCAGCTGCTCCACGTCATTTCCCTCTCTCTTGAAGTCCTCAGGTCCTGAAACATGGCCCTGGCTGGAGTGCGAGTGATTGAGCTGGCTGGTCTGGCCCCGGCGCCATTTTGTGGTATGGTCCTGGCGGATTTCGGGGCCAGCGTGATCCGGGTCGACCGCACCAAAGCTGGGGTCACGGTGGACACCCAGGGGAGAGGGAAGCGTTCTGTGGCCATCGACCTGAAGACCCCTGCGGGAGTCGGCCTCCTCAAGAAGCTCTGTGTCCAGTCAGACGTGGTCCTGGAACCGTTTCGGAAAGGTTAGAAGACCCTTTAATCATGTGCTGTTGGACTTCAGGGTGTCCGCTTTTCAGGAAATATCTCATCGTGAATTTTCTCTTAAAATAGATGCATTCGAGTACAGTTACAGTCGTTAAAATAACAGTTTGATGTAGAAAAACAACACTTGAGATCAGCCCTCACTAATTAACAGCTAATTACGTGCTAATTAGTGTACCCTAACCCTAGACCTTGACCTGGACCTAGACTTAGCCCACATGGGAAAGTCAGTTAGTAGTTAGTTAGATATTGTATAAGACCATGCAGAACAAAGAATGATATGTGCTTAATAAATACCAGATAAATAACCATAAATTATGCACTAATTAGCACTTAATTAGCTGTTAATTAGTGAGGGCTAAACTAAAGTGTGACCAAACACTTAGACATTTTTACTGAAATATTGTTTTCTTGTTTTTATTTTTATTTATATAATGATCTACAATTAATGGCAGTTATTAAGAGTGAGTACAATCTGTGTGTGTTTTTTTTTTAAGTAAGTAATGTTTATTTTTTCTAGTGCCTTTCACAGATCAGAGTCCACAAAGAGCTTTGTAAATGTTTTTCAGTTTTGCTTTCCGTGCAGTTGGTGTAACCTAAAAGTCACCATTTCATACTAGGCTGTTTATTCCGGCGATTTGTCAACACATTTCCAGGATTGGGTGATTGTCCAACATCCTGTGATGAGAATGAATCTGCATCATTGTGTTTGTTCTGCAGGAACCAATCAGAGCAGGATCAGTGTCTAGTTAAATTTAGATAAGATAAGATAGACTTTAGATCTCACACAGAGAAATTGATTCACCATGACAATATAAATGGATAGCACATTCTACGAAGGAAGTCAAATCAAAAGACTGGTGGCCCAAAAAAAAAAAAATCTGTTGCGGCTTGAACCGTGAGTAGCAGTTAACGACTTCGAGTAAAAACTAAAGGAGCACTATCTAAAAATGTGGCCAAAAGTGGTACTGCAGCCTCTCCCACTCTCCCTGACTCAGGTTGCCAGATATGCAGACGAATCCAGCTGGGACCATAACAGCAGAATAGACAAGAGTTTTGTCAACAACAAATCTATAACAAACACCTTTTTCACAAAGATAGAAATCCTGGTTTTTTTCCTTGTTTTGTTCTGTATCCACATGGTACTTTACCAGTGAGATTAGCTCGAGGTGGTGAGTTCTGGCAACCCGGATCATGGATTGGTGAAACGGTGGAGGGCGGGACATTGAAATGAAAACAATAACAAGATTAAGGGGCAGTAAAACTAATTTTGAATTCTAAATATCTCTGAACTACTGTTATCAGTTAAATAATTATTTTAATATAGCATATTTTATTAATGCCT